AAGCAAGAAATAACTCAAGACAACCTAAGTTTTGAAATGAAGCTTTGGGGTGGGCTCTAATTCTTTTTAGTCTCCCGGTTTAAGTTCTAAAGAAGGTATCCGAATTTTCCTTAATGGTGCCCCCTTAGGCTTGCCAGACCCTTAGTTATAAGCCCATTACAAGCTTGTGTGGACTAAGTTAAACTCGAGATGATACATCAAATGAATGATATAGAGATTTTTTTGAATGAAACGTTAATAATTTAGGCTTCATTGCCATCCAGCTGAAGAGACAAAATAATTATATTCCCACACTTTATCCAACTTTTTCTTATCACAGGGAGACATGGGCACACCGGTGGTGGTGAGATAAAAATAAAAAAAATTAAAGGATCAAATAGGGATGTAAAATTTACAGACCAAATTGATGCTAAAAAATGGGTTGCAAGAGAAAAATAAAAAGGTTAAGGGACTAATTAATAAAACCGAAAAACTAATGCCTAAAACAATAAAAAAAAATACAGCACATACTGTAAAAACAACACATTACAAACACCAAAACATAATAAACCCATACCATTAGAACTAAAATATAAATTATCCAAAATTACATATTAAAATCGAAATAATTAAAAATATAAATTATAGTGACCAAAATAAGATAATTGCAAACATTGTAACCAAATTAAAAAATTAACAATAATAACACACTGTACAATAACATGACTAAATTGAAAATATTAAAACATCATTACTCGAAATAAAAGAAAACAAAGCATCATTCAATGGCTAAAATGAAATATTACAAATGATAAAGGGACCCAAAGTGGAATTTACCCACGAGCTAAAGTGCAAACAGGCCCCCCTTTGAAACTACGTCTTTTCATGGGGGGCATATAAGCCTACATGCAAGGCTTAATTTCTCATATTTTCCCTCAATTTTCCCATTTGCTCAAAACAAAGAGAGAGAGTTCTCTCAACTTCCCTTTGTCGGGGAAGAAAAAATAGGCACCGTCGACGTCAATCACGTCACGGCGGCGCACATCGACTGGAGTAAACCCAAACCCCCAAAAAATTCTCCGACTAAGGTAAGCTTCTCGTCTCGCTTTTATGCTATTTTCCCTTTATTTTTTCCTCCATATTTTTCTGATTTTCGTTCGAATCTCCCCGTATTTTCTACTCGTATTTTTTTCTCTCCTTTTTGATTTGTTTACATATATATATTTATAGCTTTAGGAAAAACTATTTTTAGAGAGTTTGATTTCTACTAAAATGTCCGTTTGTTGGTTGTTTGTGTTCCACACGTCGCCGGGTCGAGAAAAAAGGGTGGTTGATCGAGGAAAGAGACCAGTTGGTGCGGGTGACCAGTTGGTAGGCTGTGCGGTGTTGAAGCAAAAGGTTAGGGTTTTGAAATCCTAACCGGTTCGGATCGTGAACCGGGTCTCGTGTCGGTTCTGGTTGTTCCAGTGGATCCGGGTTGAGGGTCTTGGGCTGCTTGTGTGGTCTTATTTGTATCTGGGCCTTGTATTGGGTGATGGGTTTATTTGTTGGACCTGAAAATAAAATACCCAAAATGAATAATGTAATAATATATTGATAATATATATATATATATATATATATATATATATATATATATATATATATTTATACTATATAATATACAACATAATATGCATATATTATATAATATAATACACATACGCTATACATTAATTATAGGACATAAATTAACGTAGAGTGAAGTCAGACGAAAATACGTGTCGACAAGTAGAATTCAAGAATGAAGGAGAAGCAGGAACAAAACTAGCATGTGAGACTGCATTCATAGTGTGATATAAACCCGAGCAGAAGACGGACGATGCTCCGTCCCTGAACCACTCGATCTTTTTGAGTAATCACCTGTTTGAGCCCCAGAATCAACGACACCAATATAATCCCGATCAAACTAATGATAACATTTCTGAACAACATGAGCAAACTTGCCACACAGCTGATATTGTGGCCTGTTTGAATTATAGTTCCGTCCACGACCTCGACTTCGATAGCCACCTCCCTGCTGACTACGCTTCTTAGAGGAAGAACCGTCTGAAGACCCTTTGACATTCAGCTCATCAATAGACTTCAAATGAGTCTGAACGACATTAGCTGAAATTCCTTCTCCCAAAAATACCTTCTGCCTAGCCTCACAATCAAGCAACATTTTAGTAAGAGTATCCAACGACAACCCCTCTCTAGAGGCTATAGCAATGACATATTCAAACTCCATAGTCAAGCCAGCTAGAATAGATTCTTTTGAGAATGCAGAGAATGTCTGAAAGAAGAAATCTTTACACTAGATATCGCACTAAACAGACGAGTCACAGCATGCCAAATAGCAACCGAAGAGGTAAGACCAGTAAGATGAGGAAGAATCTTTATACTTACAGTGGTTAATAACCAAGAAGCAAGCAATTTATCTTGCTGCCTGAAGAGCAAGAACTCCGGATCTTTACACTAGATATCGCACTAAACAGACGAGTCACAGCATGCCAAATAGCAACCGAAGAGGTAAGACCAGTAAGATGAGGAAGAATCTTTATACTTACAGTGGTTAATAACCAAGAAGCAAGCAATTTATCTTGCTGCCTGAAGAGCAAGAACTCCGGATTCTCCTCAAGCTGCCTAGAACTGTTGGTAACAGCTCATTTGGAACAACAGTGTTAGTAGAAATAAATAGTGACAAACCATAACCATCAATGATCAAAGACACCTCATGTTTCCGTAACAAATATGTATTCTGAGTAGGCTTGATCGTATCATGTTTAGGTATATTTTGAATAGAGCTCTCTCTAGCATCAGTGCAACTCATAGGAGAATTGATATGAGAAACGTTCTCAGTATCACGAGCTGGATTATCCATAAGATCAACCATCATAAAATCAACTCAAGAAACAAGAGAAGATGCAGATCTGAAACCAAGAATCTCAAACAGCATGATTACCGAATTCGCTCTTTTAATCAAAACGCAACAAGAGACAAACAGCACCAAACAAGAGATCTAAAGGAAAAGAAACAAAGCACAAAGCAAAACCAACCAACTTCTCTTCCAAACACAAAGAAAGCAGCGGAAGAGAAAACCACAGCACCAGGAATTGGCGATTGATACCATGTTAAGATATAAACCAAACTAACAAATGAAGAAGAAGTAAGAAGAGAGAAAGAATACGTATGCTTTTCATCTTTATCAACAAAGTCTGAATACAAGAAATGATGGCACTGACTATTTATAAAGTCAGCTGACATCAGCTAAACTCATAACAGAAACCCTAACAAACCAATAACCAACTGCTCATGACATTCAGCTGGAAACCAACTCCATACTATATACTAACATGAAGAATATTTGTTTGCTTTCCACGGAGAATCTGGAGGTTGGAGTTTGATCACCAAGAGTGGAGCAATCCCACGATTATTGCATCTATTGTCCTCTCCGGATTCTAAAATCCTAGAGCATACCGTTACAGCTCAATTGAATTTATATATATCGATGAGTCTAACAAGAGTCTTATAATTGATGAACGCGTAATTCCAAGAATAATAGAAGTCTTGAAAAGTGGAAGTATGGAGACGAGAGAGAACTCGGCAGCAGCTTTGTTTAGCTTGTCGATGCTCGGCGATAATGATAAAAAAACGACAACAAAAATGAAGAAAATTTGTGCAATTGAGCTTCTAATTAGACATTGGCGAAATTTGGTGATAGAGTTTGAGGGATCAATTTAAAATTTTAGAGGTTTAAATTAAGATTTTTTAAAATTTTGAAGGATTTAATTTATATTTTTCCAAAAAAATTAGGGTCTACTACAATTTTTGAAATTTTGAGAGGCTTAATGAGAATTTTTAAAAATCATGGGAGTGAGTTTAATTAAGAATATTAAAAAAATAAAATTTAATTTGAATTTCTAAAATTTGGGGGACAAATTGAATTTTTAAAAAAAATTAAAAGTCAAAATTAGAATTTTTAAAATTTTTGGGTGACCGTGACCCCTCTAGTCCAACTTGTGTTCCGCCCATGTAATTAGAGGAAATGAAGAAAAAATGAGGAAAATTTAAGAATTTGAGAAGGATGAGCTAGGAGAAAGAAAAGAAATGGCGAGTTAAAGAAAAAGAGGAGGATGTGAGGGCTAGTTAAAATAGTTTCACATGGTCAAATGATGTTAAAAAAATCAAACTAAGAACCACATCAGTATTTCGTTACTCCAGTGACAACTGTTAACCGTCGAACGATCAGTTTGTTAATGATGTCAAGAAAAGAAATGTTAGTGACTAATTTATTACTTTTGAAACTTCAATGGAGAAAACGATTAATTACCATTTGTATAGTTTACTTTATATTAAATTTATATAATTACGTTAAATTTAAAGATATAATAACTTTCTAAATTAATAATAAAAATACTAAAAACTAAAAATAAATTATCCTTGAATAATCTAAAATAATTACAAGATAATATATATTAAAAAAATTATTCTATAGACAACTTTTACATATCCTAAATAATTATTTAAATTAAATTCTGAAAAAATAATATTATCTTTTTTCTCTTAAACACATCAATATATTGAACTACAAATAACCTTTTTCTTTTTTGTTACATAACTAAAAATAACCTTAAATGAGAGAAAAGTGGCAAGATAAAGCCTAATTTCAATTGAATTTGTAGGCTATTTCTACTGGGGGCTTGAGGCCTCATGCCCTAATGATGCAATGACTCAACAAATGACAAAGGCATGGAGTAGAAAGGGTAGCCATAACTAAAGGCCAAAGCTTTTGTCAGAGAAAAAAAATACCAACTTGCAATCAATATCAACAAAACCGAACGGTCCAGATCTCATGATACGTGACAGCAAGGAAACCAAGTAGGCAACTTGATCGGTTGCCTTCTTTATCCCCATTTCCCCCTTTATCAATATCTAACCTAAACACTGTTCTGCTTAAACCCTCTCTTCCATTCCAAAAACCTTATCTTTTTAGCTATAGAGAAAAACAAAGGCTAAAAAGAAGCAAAGTAGCCATGTCTGCAATATCTGCTTCATCTCTTATACTCCAATCTCTCAAACCCAAAGCTTTATCTTTACCAAATTCAACACCCATTTCCCTTTCCCTCTTCTCTCTTCCTCACAAGCCCCATGCAAAGCCTCTCTTCTGTTCTGCTCTTCAAAGTTTCGAGATTTTGGCCAAAAGGTCTTCTTTTTCTTCTAGGTTCGTTAGGAACGTTGCCGTTTCATCCGAGTATGGTCAGGAAGAAGATTTATTTGGTAGTGACGAGGATGGAGAAGAGGCTCCTGATTTCTCCCCCGACTTGAAACTTTTTGTGGGTAACCTTCCTTTCAGTGTGGATAGTGCTCAGCTTGCTGGCTTGTTTGGAAGCGCTGGAAATGTTAAGGTGGTTGAGGTACTTTTTTTCTCTTTCAAATTTTACTAATTAATTTGCCTATTTTATGTTTCTCGGTGTGTTTGAATGCTTAATGCTCAAAAGACATTTAGCTAATTGAAGGGTCGTTGTGTAAGTAATCATTTGTTGATTTAATTGAGAATGGATTTGAATAGATGCAACATGGACCTTATGTCTTTCCTTCAATCATTTGGTGAATTTCGAATCAAAATGTTGGTTTAATATGGTGAAATTATTGCTTTTGGCAGGTGATTTACGACAAGGTAACTAGTAGAAGTAGGGGGTTTGCTTTTGTAACCATGTCCACGATTGAGGAAGTTGAAGCTGCTGAACAACAGTTCAATGGCTATGTAAGTCATTTTTCGGGGGCGAATATGCTATGAACTCCTATTGTTCTGCACATTTCTTATTTGGTTTGGCGTTGTTTACATGTATATTGGAAACAATATGATTTTCCATTTAGTAGTTTAGAATACACATCATGAGTATATTCTTATTTCTCATTATTAGAACAACTTGAAGGCTGATGTCTTGTTTTGGCTTTAAAACATAGCGTTGCTTAAGAATCCAATCCACGTATGAAGTGAATGCTTTATACTTTCTTCCACATTCCTTTTGCAGCATTGTTTGGGAAAAGGGGTGTTTGCATTGACAAGTTTGCATAAGTTTTTACTGTATGAATACCTAATACCTCCATAAAAGTATTAAGTATACAATTCATGATAAGTCAATAGATTTAATCATAACCTTGTGTTTGGGTTATCATAGAATTTTCTTCTGTTTGACTTGCTGGTTACAGGAACTGGAAGGGAGGTCATTGAGGGTAAACTCAGGACCTCCTCCTCCACGTAGGGAAGACTTTTCTCCTAGAGGAGCAAGGGGTAGGGAAGACTTTTCTCCTAGAGGAGCAAGGGGTAGGGAAGACTTTTCTCCTAGAGGAGCAAGAGGTAGGGGAGACTTTTCTCCTAGAGGAGCAAGAGGCAGGGAAGACTTTTCTCCTAGAGGAGCAAGAGGCAGGGAAGACTATTCTCCCAGAGGAGCAAGAGGTGGTCCTCCTATGGGAAATTCAAATCGTGTCTATGTCGGTAACCTTTCATGGGGTGTTGATGATATGGCACTCGAGAACTTGTTCAGTGAGCAGGGCAGTGTTGTGGAAGCGAAAGTCGTTTATGACAGGGAAAGTGGTAGATCAAGGGGATTTGGCTTTGTAACTTATAATTCTTCTGAAGAGGTTGACAGGGCTGTCAGATCCTTGAATGGTTCTGTAAGTTTATCATTGCCTTGATCTTTCATGCATGAATGTCTATTGCAAGTCGAGAATCAATTACTGTATAATGTATCTTTTGTGATAGAATATGTAAGATTAGTCGTTTGGCTAATCAATACCTTCAATGTCTTTCATGCTTCTTTCATTTTATGTTGGGCTGTGGGCACGTACTGATTTCCATGTGCATGACTTTGTCTGGTGCAGGATTTGGATGGCAGACCAATTCGAGTCACTGTGGCAGAGTCTAGGCCAAGGCGTGAATTTTGAGTGCAGATCTTTCCTACCAGTGCTGCTAAATTCCTCGGGTATGACTCAAAGATCTTCCGTTTCAATATTAAAACACACGAACTTTCTTGTTGACCTTTATCTCATCTAACATTATAACACATTTTTGGATGAATATGTGCAAACTGACATGTTAAGCTCGAATATACAAAAATTGGTCTTAAATTTAATGTTCATTGCCTATATTAATATAAGTTTGGATTGGATTCTCTTTTTATCAGGGACGCCTAGAATATGCAGCTGCAGTCTTTTCTGCTCATGGGAGTCTATAAATATGCTTCTTGTTTTGGATGCAATGGCCGATTTGTTCTTTTCAACATCAGTCTTTAGATTATAAAAAGTTGACAACATCTATTGAAATATTTTTCATTATATGTTCCAAGTATCATATGATTTCAGTGACTGACAATGTAGCCTAATGTTTTGCCTCATTGGATTTACATGTTTGGCTCCCTTGTATAATCTTGTGGGATGGAAGACCACCTTTATATCTGTTGAATGAATTGAACCTAAAGCAAAACCTGGTCCTAGATCCTTTGTTTAAGGGGGTTCATTTCATGCTGCTGCCTCATTAAGGTATCGATATCTATTTAAGACATCGATACTATTTTGAGCTTTTATTTTCAAAAATAACTGAAATTTAAGTCTTAATATCGATACCATGCACTAGGTATCAATACTAAGCCTTAGATACGATATATATGACTTTGATATCAATACTAAATTAGGTTAGATGTTGAAAAAATTAGAAAAATCCCTCTGGTATTAAATTAACACCATAGGGTATGTAACCCTTGTGCCCAAAATATAAAAGCAAACATTGTAGGATCAAGCCCCATAACTTTAACATCCTAACTTCATTCTACTTCATATCAATCGTTATGATACTTTACCGACCAATGGCAGATTTAAAATTTTAAAAATAGGGTTTTAAAAGAAAATTTAAAAATTTAAAAATAGGGCTCCAAAAAGGAGATCTTAAAATTTAAAAATAGAGGTCCAAAAATAATGTATTCATGCCCCACAAGTAATATTTATTTAGTCGATCTCTTTTAGGGCAATTTCAGGCAATATGATGCATACATGCCCCAGAAGAAGTAATATTTAAGCATGCTATCACAATCTCAAACCATGATATTCTTATCTCATGCATTCACAGATTAACATACCACATGTTGACATGCACTAAAACATTGTGGGTCCTATACAATACTATTACACATCTTATCATAATCAAGCATATCAAAGTTCATACCACCACACGACTTCAAATGTTAAACTAGACTAGGTAAGACTTGTACATGCCACTAAATTCATTATATCAAAAGTGAACATATACTTTCCGTTTAAGGGTAGCTGTGACTCTTTTGATGATGCATCATCCTCGATCCTACCTCGAAATTTTCTATCGTTACCTACGTGTGAAATTAAACCACGCGTTGAATTTGAAATTCGTTAGTGCTTATAATACAAATAACCAATGTTAGTGGCATAAAACACACTCAAGCATGCCAACATCGCATGAGTTCATATCAATATATCATGTTCATTTCATAGTATATTTTATTATTCACACTTTGATTAATTCATAACTTAATAAACATAGGACATGCGTCATGTCCCAAAATCGTGTTGAACAATACTAAAATCATAGGTAGTCTCTGGTTAGAAATCATATGCTTGACTCATTATCATTATGAAGTTATCAATGTTTGTATTCGTTTCTAAGTATCATTTCTTGTTTTCAATCATAGTTTGACATCTACTTTCACCTTATGATGATCCTTCCATGCATGGCTACAATGTATTAGGCATATTTCGCAAAACAGTACATATTAATCATGTTTTCAATTTATTAGTTTGAGTGAGTTTCATGCAAAATCAATCCTAGGAGAAAAAGAGAAATGATGTACAAATATTTTGGTATCGATTTTATCACGAAAGACGATCGATGACTGACAGTAATTGGTTGGAACGATGGTCGAAAAGGTAGAATGTCAAAAAGTAAATTGTTTAGAAGTTTAGTAATAAAATATATACACCCCTAAAAATTAATGTCTAAAATGAGATCGTGTTGGGCATCAATAGTTGTCGCTAAAACGAATTTGCTTGATGAACAACATTTCTTTTTATCATTGAAGTCGCTTGATGGGTTCATGTTGGAATTGTGTCGAACACGGATATGATTTGAAATTAAAGTTATTATTTAATTACGAAGTAATTTCTATGTTCTTTGTTCGTTTATTTCACCAATAAAGTTATTAATTAATTACGAAGTAATTTCTATGTGTTTTGTTCGTTTATTTCACCAATTGATGTCAACTCTTGTTTAATAATGGTTATTTAGAGCTTTTCATTAACTAAAATTGAAAGCTGAAAACAATGAATTTAATTTTTAGGGGCTTTTTGGGTGTAAATTTATTATATAATAGAATTTATATGACTAGGTTTGTTTATCTTATTGTAATCCTAGATTTTTTTAACTTTATTTATTCTTCATCGAATTAAAATAATATTTAAATATTTTAAAAATAATAATAAATACGAATATGGTTTGAAATTAAAGTTATTAAAGTTATTCATGGTACTACTACCTGAGAGAATATTTCGCTTGAAGATGGTGATGGTGTAATACCCCAAACTTCGGGTCAATGATTTAAGTGTAAGGATTAAAAATTTGGTGGTTTCATTTTGATAAATTGAAAGGTGCAAGGACTGATTTGGAAAATTGTTGTCCATGATTTATTATCAAAGATGGAAAGATGGAAGGGCATTATGATCTTTTAGTAGGATCTTTTAGTAGGAAAAGAATTTAATATTCATTTTAAAGGGTTATAACATGTGGGGAGAGGAAAAGAAAAAGAAAAGTCTCGAAGCTTGGCTTTCTCTTCCTCTCTTCCTTCGTATTCTTCCATGGCTAAGGTAAGTTAATTGAAGTTGGTTAATTCTTTCATTTTTTATTTGGTTTTTGTTCTATGAGTGATATAGAAGCTTAAAAAAGTTTAAAGATGAACTGAAACTAAGAGATTAAGGATTTAATGGTGATTTAGTAAAATGGGGTTTTTAAGATAATTGATTGAAATTGATTGTATTTGGATTTTTAAAGATATATTTGACTTGTCAAGGGTTTAATTAAGGGATTAGAAGTGTTGGGAAGGATTTAAAACATGTTTGAAAAATTGATATGATTTTTAGTTTCAAGGGTTATATGGTAGATTTTTTTATGTAAAAGGGGTTTTAATGGAGATAAGTTAATGGGAATAAGTGTAAATGAGTTTGAAGGTATAAATAGATCTAAGGGTAAGAGATTTAAGTGAAAGTTGGGTAAATTTTGAAGTAAAATAGGTGATTTATGGGTAAGGGTATTAGTACTGAAAGAACAGTATCGATACTATAAGGTTAACTGCGATGAAATTATATGAATCAGATGAACAGTATCGATACTGAATGTTAGTAGTATCGATACTGGTAAGGGTATCGATACCAATAGTAAGGTATCGATAATATAAGTAAAGATGAAATTACAGAATACCAAAATGATATCGGTACTAATGGGGTATCGATACCATAGAAGAGAGGTATCGGTACTATGGGCAGAGTATCGATACTATTCAATCAGAATTGTTATTTAGATGTTTCATTTCGCTCAAGTAAAGGTTAATTGATAGATGTTATTGAGCTCCGATATTCATTTTGATTATGTTAATGTGTAGATTAGATCGAAAGTAAGTGCTTAACAAATGGACTTGTAAAGTTAGTAAGCTAAAGTGAAAAGGATGTATGCTTAGGACTTAAGTAAGGTAAACGTGAGTGCTATTTACTTATTTTATCAATGATTGGAGGATGGCTTGTGATGAGCCAATCCCAAATGTTCTTGAGTTATATGAAAGTGATTTATTTGAGTATATGTTATTATATATGAAAGTGTTTTATATAAGTATATTCTGTGTGAGGGTTTTATATGTGAATATGTTTTATATGAGTAAATTGATAAGAGGAATATGATGTGTAATATGAAATAATTATGAGCTATGAGCATATGATAAGTATTGAATAAATGCTATGTGAAATTAAATATTATGAGAACAAGTTCTACGTGAATAAATGATAAACTTGGATAAAGTTTCATGAAATTGTTCTACGTGAGAAGTGTTCTACTTGAAAAGGTTATATATGATAATGTGCTAAGTGAAAAGGTTCTGCGTGAAGAAACCCTATGTGAACGTAAACTACGAGAATAAGACACACTTTAAATAATGAAATGAAAATAATTATATGGTTAAAGCCTAAAGTATCTAAACGTTCATGTAACACCCATTTCCCGTATACACTCATGTATACGAGTCATAGATGTCACATGACTTTTAAAATATTTTCGTACTTGAAACCAGTAAAATTTTGCTTCTTTAAGTAAAACAATTTACTATAATAATATTATAAATGTTCATTAATCACTAGTATGTAAAATAACCTTAAAGTTCGAACATAATATACTACTACAACCCATATGTCAAATACATACCAGAGCATCATCATATAACTAATACATTACAACTACTAATATCAAAAGTAAACATCTAAAGATGTCATACAACTACTGATGAGACAACCTTTAATTTAAGATGTTAGTTTCACTCCTTACTCCGATTGTACGTTATTACTTACGCTTGAAACCATCACAAGCTAAGTATTCACTTAGTGAGACATAATAACATAAATAAGACATTTTAAAAACATGAGTAAACCATTATAAGATCAAAATACAATTTATCGTATAAAATACATAAACTCTTAAAACTAACTTGATAAGTCAAGTTTCCGTCAAATAACCTGTGAAACAATATTTAGTATGCCCATCATACCTATCTATCGATATATTCAAAAGTATTTATTCATAGTCCAATGTATGTCAAATGAGAATGCAATGTACATGAGTTGCACATAAGTGTTAAACAAAAGTATAAGTACTATAGTAACAACGACACTATACTAATATATCGAAATGGTAATTCACAAACTCATTATGAATACTGTGAATGCACATATAGTGTCAAAAGTACACAAATGTACTGATACGAAAATACAACATATGCATTAAACAAAATCGATTGATAACCACCATACTCCAAGTATGTCGAAATGCACTTATGACTCTCAATGCACAATAGGCCTTTAAATCAAATTCGTATATTAAACATTTATTATGACACATCTATAGTTGTTAAAATAATATAAAAGTTCATCCATCTGCATTTCATACCCTAAAATTTTTCGTAAAATCATTTTAATAAATTTATGAAAATATTTCAAAATACGGTAAAACATGCTTTTATAAAAACATTTGAGGTTGACTCATTACAAGTCGTCATCATAACATAAACATAATAAATGCACTCACCTGGTATGTCTCACTCTTATGCATTACTAACAAAATCGG